GAGCTGTAATGCCACAACACTCTACCCAGGGGGACAGCTTGAGGCTCTGTCTCAAAAAAAAAAAAAAAAAGAATGATTATCCAGAGATGCCAAATTCCTCAAAAGGTATAGATAGTCAACAGGCACCATTCAAAACAAAACTACATGATCCTACATTGAGTGACATAGTAAAGCCCTGGTGTATGCATTCACTTGCATTGTGGGCTATGATTACACATACAATCCCCACCCACCCTCTGTGCTTTCAGCATACACTCCTTACTGGAAGCAAGGCTATATACACCAGGAAGTGAAACTCCTTTAGGAGAATTCTTTGTTCTTTTTTCCCACTACCCCACTGTTGGAGTCTGCATGCACACTGGGCATGAGCAGGAAGGTGTCACTTCTGTGAAGAGACTGTTCCCAAAACTTCAATTTCTCATGTAATCATATAATCTCTGAGAGGTAAGGGGGAAAACCCATAAAGGTCATTATAAACAGATCCCATGATGTCAAAGGAAAAACAGCTGGAGAAAGGGAGTTTAATAACCAGCCTTCTTTTACTATAATAGGCTTGACATCATTGATTATTTATTATTTCCAACACTAAAACACAAAGCCATGTGCTACATTATGGACCACGATGAAAAGGATATGTGGACTTTTCCTGAGTATTTTAATATCCTCTTATTGACAGTAGATAGAAGATCTGAACAAAGACTGGGAACAGGAAATGATTTTAGTGATTTCATTACAGTAATAGAGAAAAGCATTTCCAAGGGCAGCATTGGGCAGATGGTCTGGTAAGGTTTCAATCTCTAAACAGTCTGCAGGTCAACAAGCTCAATATTGATACAAGCTCTTATATAATTAAGGAGCTTTTCTAGCAAGCAGAAAAGTTTTCATAAATATGGGTGGTAGCCTTAGCAGTGGAACACAGGAAGCTGGTGTTTAAAAGTTAATTTAAAACCATTTCACAATGGAAGGTACGGAGAGGCAGCAGGAAGCCTAAGCAGTAAGACCACACAGCTAATGACCTCTTTATGTTCTAGTACAAATCAGATTTGAAATGGAATATCAAGCATGGTACATCTTCAGTTAGTTTAGCTACAGGGATAAATAAACACGGTTGTAAAATTTTTAGATTTTTGAGACTTTTAAGATCTCATTCAAAAAATCCTAAGTAAATCAGCCAATTCGTTTTAACATCAAACATCTTGGTGAGGAAACATTTCCCTGGAACAAAACAGCAAACCAGCTTCTTCCTCTGTTCCTCTTAAACATGATTCTGTAGAATATGAGCTTCATTAGGGCAATATTTTTGTCTGTTTCATTCACTGTTGTCTTCCTAGTGTTTAGAACAATGGGCTGGTACACAGTGGGAAAAAAATGACTGGCTACACTGAAATGATGCCCTCAGTCTTGCAAGTTCCATGATCTAGACACCAAAGCTCTTAAGCCAACATGATTTGCCTAGTTTGGATCAGGAATTAATCCCTTATTCACTTATGTTGTAACCATTGGAAGAGTATCGGTATTTCAGGGATAATTCTTGGAGATGGGGACATAAATAAGCAAATACCTCAGGAATCAATTCCACCTGATGTGTAAGACCCCTTCATGATCTAGTCCATGTCTCCCTACAGGATCCAGATATAGTATAGAAGTTAAAAGAACATGGTTTAGGAGGTCTGCATTCAAACCTGGGGCTCTCAGTCTTCATTTCCCCATCTATAAAATGGTAATAACTTATAGGATTATTAAAGAACTAAATAAAACAATATAAGAGCGTCTGACATAATAAATCCCAATACAGGCGACCTCCTAGTTATAAACATCTGATTGACATACAACCCACACTTAAGAAAGGAGGCTATCGGCTCG